CGCCCGTCGCCCGCCGCCCGTCAGCCCGCCGCCCGTCGCCCGTCAGCCTCGCCGCCCGTCAGCCCGTCGCCCGTCGCCCGCCGCCTGCCGCCCGTCGCCCGTCGCCCGCCTCCTGTCGCCCGTTGCCCGTCAGCCCGTCGCCCGTCAGCCCGTCAGCCTCGCCGCCCGTCGCCCGCCGCCCGTCGCCCGTCAGCCCGTCGCCCGTCGCCCGTCGCCCGTCGCCCGTCAGCCCGTCAGCCTGCCGCCCGTCGCCCGTCAGCCCGCCGCCCGTCGCCCGTCGCCCGTCGCCCGCCGTCGCCGCCTGTCAGCCCGTCGCCCGTCGCCCGTCAGCCCGTCGCCTGTCAGCCCGTCGCCCGTCCGCCCGTCAGCCCGCCGCCCGTCAGCCCTGTCGCCCGTCGCCCGCCGCCTGCTGCCCGTCAGCCCGCCGCCTGTTGCCTGTTGCCCGTCGCCTGCCGCCCGGCTTGCCTGTCGCCCGTCCTGTTGCCTGTCGCCCGTTGCCTGCCGCCCGCCGCCCGTTGCCTGTCGCCCGTCAGCCCGTTGCCTGTTGCCCGCCGCCCGTTGCCCGTTGCCCGCCGCCCGTCGCCCGTCAGCCCGTTGCCCGTCAGCCCGTCCGCCTGTTGCCCGTCAGCCTGTCGCCCGTCGCCCGTCGCCCGTCGCCCGTCGCCCGTCAGCCCGCCGCCCGCCCGTCGCCTGTCGCCCGTCAGCCCGTCGCCCGCCGCCTGCCGCCCGTCAGCCCGTCAGCCTGCCGCCCGCCGCCTGCCGCCTGTCAGCCCGCCTGTCGCCCGTCAGCCCGTCAGCCCGTCAGCCCGTCGCCTGCCGCCCGTCGCCCGCCGCCCGTCAGCCCGTCAGCCCGCCGCCCGTCGTTCCGTCAGCCTGTCGCCCGTCGCCTGCCGCCCGTCAGCCTGTCAGCCCGTCAGCCCGTCCGCCCGTCGCCCGCCGCCTGTCGCCCGCCGCCCGTCGCCCGCCGCCCGTCAGCCTGTCAGCCCGTCGCCTGTCAGCCCGCCGCCTGCCGCCCGTCAGCCCGTCGCCCGTCGCCTGTCGCCCGTCGCCCGCCGTCGCCTGTCGCCCGTCGCCCGTCAGCCCGTTGCCCGTCAGCCCGTCAGCCTGCCAGCCTGCCAGCCTGTCGCCTGTCAGCCCGTCGCCTGCCGCCCGTCGCCTGTCGCCTGCCGCCCGCCTGCCGCCTGTCAGCCCGTCAGCCCGTCGCCCGTCGCCTGTCGCCCGTCAGCCCGCCGCCCGCCGCCTGCCGCCCGTCAGCCTGTCAGCCTGTCAGCCCGTCAGCCCGTCCGCCCCCGCCTGTCAGCCCGTCAGCCCGTCAGCCCCGTCGCCCGCCGCCTGTCGCCCGCCGCCCGCCGCCCGTCAGCCCGTCGCCCGTCAGTCCGCCGCCCGCCAGCCTGTCAGCCCCGTCAGCTCCCGCCCGTCAGCCCGTCGCCCGTCAGCCCGTCGCCTGCCGCCCGTCAGCCCGTCAGCCCGTCGCCCGCCGCCCGTCGCCCGCCGCCCGCCGCCCGTCAGCCCGTCGCCCGTCGCCCCCGCCTGCCGCCCGTCAGCCCGCCGCCCGCCGCCCGCCGCCCGCCGCCCGTCAGCCTGTCAGCCCGTCAGCCCGTCCCGTCGCCCGCCCGCCCGCCAGCCCGCCGCCCGCCGCCCGTCAGCCCGCCGCCCGTCAGCCCGTCAGCCCGTCAGCCCGTCGCCCGTCGCCCGTCAGCCCGCCGCCCGTCGCCCGTCGCCCGCCGCCCGTCAGCCCGTCAGCCCGCCGCCGCCCGTCAGCCCGTCAGCCCGTCGCCCGTCGTCTGTCAGCCCGTCGCCCGTCAGTCCGTCGCCCGCCCGCCGCCCGTCAGCCGCTCGTCGCCCGCCGCCCGTCGCCCGCCGCCCGTCAGCCCGTCGGCCCGTCAGCTGCCGCCCGTCAGCCCGTCGCCTGTCAGCCTGCCGCCCGTCGCCCGTCAGCCCGTCAGCCCGTCAGCCCGCCGCCCGCCTCGTCGCCCGTCGCCTCGCCGCCCGTCAGCCCCCGTCGCCGCCCGCCGCCCGTCGCCCGTCAGCCTGCCGCCCGTCAGCTCCGTCAGCCTGTCAGTCTGCCAGCCCGTCAGCCCGTCGGCTGTCAGTCTGCCGCCCGTCAGCTGTCAGTCTGTCAGCCTGTCAGCCCGCCGCCCGTCAGTCTGTCAGTCCGTCGTCTGTCGTCGTCCGTCAGCCCGCCGTCTGTCAGCCCGCCGCCCGTCAGCCCGTCAGTCCGTCAGTCTGTCCCCGTCTGCCCGGTCTGTCAGTCTGTCAGCCCTGTCAGCCCTGTCAGCTCCGTCAGTCTGTCGCTCTGTCGCCTGTCAGTCCGTCGCCTGTCAGTCTGTCAGTCTGCCGCCTGTCAGCCCGTCAGTCCTGTCAGCTCGCCCCTGTCAGTCTGTCGCCTGTCAGTCTGTCAGTCTGTCAGTCTCGTCGGTCTGTCAGTCTGTCAGTCTGTCAGTTCGTCAGTCTGTCAGTCTGTCAGTCTCGTCAGTCTGTCAGCCGCGTCTGTCAGTCTGTCCGTCTGTCAGTCTGTCAGCCTGTCAGTCCGTCAGCCTGTCAGTCTGTTCGTCAGTCAGTCTGTCAGTCTGTCAGTCTGTCAGTTCTGTCAGCCCGTCAGTCTGTCAGTCCTCGTCAGCTCCGTCGCCCGTCAGCCTGTCAGTCTGTCAGTCTGTCAGTCTGTCAGTCTGTCAGTCTGTCAGCCTGTCGCCTGTCAGCCCGTCGCTGTCAGCCTGTCAGTCTGTCAGTCTGTCAGCCCGTCAGTCTGTCAGTCTGCCGGTCTGTCGCCTGTCAGTCTGTCAGTCTGTCAGTCTGTCAGTCTGTCAGTCTGTCAGTCTGTCAGTCTGTCAGCCTGTCAGTCTGTCGCCTGTCAGTCCGTCAGTCTGTCAGTCCGTCAGTCCTGTCGCCCGTCAGTCTGTCCGTCTGTCGTCTGTCAGTCTGTCAGTCTGTCAGTCCGTTAGTCTGTCAGTCTGTCAGTCTGTCAGTCTGTCAGTCTGTCAGTCTGTCAGTCTGTCAGTCTGTCAGTCTGTCAGTCTGTCAGTCTGTCAGTCTGTCAGTCTGTCAGTCTGTCAGCCTGTCAGCCTGTCAGTCTGTCAGTCTGTCAGTCTGTCAGTCTGTCAGTCTGTCTGTCAGTCTGTCAGTCTCTGTCAGTCTGTCGTCTGTCAGTCCCGTCAGTCTGTCGTCTGTCAGCCCGTCAGGTCTGTCAGTCTGTCGTCTGTCAGTCTGTCAGTCTGTCAGTCTGTCAGTCTGTCAGTCTGTCAGTCTGTCGCTGTCAGTCTGTCAGTCTGTCAGTCTGTCAGTCTGTCAGTCTGTCAGTCTGTCAGTCTGTCAGTCTGTCAGTCTGTCAGTCTGTCAGTCTGTCAGTCTGTCAGTCTGTCAGTCTGTCAGTCTGTCAGTCTGTCAGTCTGTCAGTCTGTCAGTCTGTCAGTCTGTCGTCTGTCAGTCTGTCGCCTGTCAGCTCCGTCAGTCTGTCAGTCTGTCAGTCTGTCAGTCTGTCAGTCTGTCAGTCTGTCAGTCTGTCAGTCTGTCAGTCTGTCTGTCAGTCTGTCAGTCTGTCAGTCTGTCAGTCTGTCAGTCTGTCAGTCTGTCAGTCTGTCAGTCTGTCAGTCTGTCAGTCTGTCAGTCTGTCAGTCTGTCAGTCTGATAGTCAGGTTGGAATGATTGGATTTGATCACAATTTTGCAAACAGTTTTCTAAACTGAACTCGAAGCTCATTCGAGAATTGTACTTTTAACAAAGGCGTAACAGCAGTGCAAGCCTGACTGCTTTGCACCACTATACCTAAGTTGGAGTCATCAGCTGCTTTATTGCTAGAAGAACACCTCTTCTCCAAAAAGCATATTCTCTACATACCCTTTGAGTTTTGTATCCAAGAGAATTGCGCGAATTCAGGAATGGACAGATGTAATGTCATGGCACCACGTTCGAGCAGACTTAAGCCCTGAGGATCTGGTGTCTCGAGGACTCTCTCCCACTTAGCTAATAGGCTTTTGGACTGCAGCTTGGGTGGAGCTTTTTCGCAATCTTCCGGAGCGCAGTATTAACATTTTTATGGAAAGCTTCGGTGCAATTTTGCTCATATGGAGCGCTTTATTTCCCTTCGGAATAAGAATTGTTCTCGATGAGTTGGTCCTCTCACCGTGCAGGATTAAATCGCGTACTCTAGTTTTAAAGAATTCAGCTTTGCCATTATGCTGCGGAAATCGCCGGACTCTAAGCTAACAGCCATTTATCAAAAGGAAGCCAATTGCTGTCTCTTTTGAGATTTGGCAGGCGGCTACAAAATCCGAGCCTGAACTACGACGATAGGCATATCGTCTTACTTCAGAAAGTTCATCCGGTAACACAGGCTACAATAGTCTTTTACCTCACAACATTTTTTCAGGCATAGCTTGGATCATGAAGACAAATGTTTTGGGCAGTTGACTTTTGCAGTTCCTCATATTATTTGGAGCACAAATTATCTGGCAACTTATTTTTGTGAGAATTAAACCTATCATATGTTAAATTTATTTATTAATTAAGGATGGCAAATTCGTTGTCTTCCCTAAAACAACGCTGTTTTGCATTACGTTGTTGTGCTCTACGTTGTCTTCCAATGCGATTTGTATTATTTTTAGTACTATAAACTTTATTATTAGTGCTACATAACTATCTGTACATCTTCTTAGTAGTTGTTTTGTGTTTATTGATGAACATATTTGTTGAAGTTGCTTAAGAAACACACAAGATTAATTAAACGTGCACTACTAAATATTAAAAGTTATTGATTATTCCTCCTAAACAAAAAGGTGAATTGCCGCCAATACAATCTAGAGAGGGTTATTTGTTTGTTATTTATAATTGTTGTATAGTTGTATATATTGTTTCATATCGAATATTCCATCACAATTATACATCACATGAATTGTTAGCTTTACTATATAACTATAGCTTTCTGGTACATTAAATTACTTAATATCTAGTGTTTACTTACCTCTATGGTGCTTCTATTAATTCTACCATTTATCTTCTAACAGTGCATTTTCAAAAAATTATCCACGCTGACATTAAACCAGGAAATTTATTGTTAACTGAATCTGGGCATGTCAAAATAGCTGATCTAGGTGTTTGTAACGAATTTTTCGGAGAAGATGCCAATATAAGCAATGAATCGACAAGCGGAACTCCAGCCTTCAGAGCACCCGAAACTCTTATATTGGGACAAGTATAAAATTCTTTAAATAATTTTGAACATTAAAAATTAAACATTTTTTATTGTTTGTTAGACCAAATATTGTGGAAAAGCAGCAGATGTGTGGTCACTAGGTGCAACTCTATATTCTTTGGTTTTTGGAAATGTACCGTTTTTAGCAAATTCGGTGCCGTTATTGTATGATAAAATAAAACGGGATTCTGTAGTATTTCCAGAACACTATTTAGTTTCTGAAAATTTGAAAAGCTGCATAACTCAAATGTTGGAAAAGGATGCCATGCACAGGATTACAGTTCCCCAATTAAAGGTATTATATATTTGTAATAAGTAAAATAAATAAAAAACATTCGAATGTATTGGATATAATGAATATTCATTTTTTAGACGAATAAATGGGTTACCTCTGGTTCCCAATATTCTTTGCCGACAGAAGAGGAAAATTGTATGTTGGTACAAGTAGACGATAAAGACATGCGCTCCGTCATACACAGCATTCCAAAATTGGACACACTAATACTAATTAAAACAATGTTGAAAAAACACTCTTTTGGAAACCCTTTTGTAAAGGGATCTGCGGTAATATTTTCAGGACCAAACGAATCGCGGATTTCGTTTGTCCGCGCAGGTCGATCTAATTCAGCACCTGCTTCCTGTCACATGCTTACAGATAGGTATTAAAGTCACTTTAAAAAAGTATTGATAGTTATATGTATTTTTGTTTTTTGCAGGCAACCTTCGGCTGATGCTCTGCTTCCATCCCTTACGGAACATTGTCCAGACCAATCTAACGAAGATAAATATAATAATATTAATTGACCTAAATGTTATTAATTAAAATGTGATTAAACTTTTGTATTACTTTGTGTTATTGGAATTTTTATTGTAATCATACTTAACTTGCAATGGTATGATTTTCTCAATGATTAAAATAAGAATACTCGTATACTCACTTTGCCCATCCAGCATGGACATATAAATATAATTCTCAAAGAAAAAAGTGGTTTATTGTATTTCTTGAAAATAAGGAAGGCAAGCCCATAGCGAATATACATATATTACTGATCTGGATCAGTTAAAATGCGAAATTAGAGTAAAATGAATTGTACTGATCTTGGCGTATACCTTCGATGGACACTTTTATAAGAACGCACCCTCGGATCATTACACTTCCCACGCCATGTTTCACGGTTGGTCTTAGGTGATATTTGGTTTTGCTTTCGTTTTGGAAAAGTAGATCCTCCCAGCAGCTATGGTCCTTTTGGTCAAGTGTCCCTATAATTATCGGTGTCGCTCGGCCCGAAAAGAGTTTATTCGAGCGACTCTGCCGTTGTACATCCATTTGTTAAGGGATTTCAGTTCCGGAGCAAGATTTGAAGCAGTCGGCAAAGAAAATGGGCATACTAACCCATTGCACAAGGTTAGGATCAAGTCCATCCCCCAAATGGGTTGGAAAAAACTCCGATATCGGTGTCTTATACAAGTTAACAGTACTGAGAAGTAACAGGGAAACGGTAGAAATCTTGGGTGATTCTTAGACTACCCTAGTCTTTCTACGTGCCGACTCAGCATACCCGCCTTTGGGGGCCGTGCCTGGGTCCCATTCGTTCCTGGTATGGTGAGTTATGCTCATTTTGCGATCGCTAGCAATTTTCACTGGCATGCGATCGGCCTGCCGACTAAGTTCCCTTTTTCGTACAGCTAAGGTCCTTAGTTCTCTTTTATAATTATTTGAATAAAGAGCACTTAGCTTCATAAACTTTTCTCCGGCTATCGCCGTCATATTATTTGCATTCGCCCATTGAGCTTAAGGCCAGGGGTATAGGAAAGGATACACCCGACTCATTTCAAGACACCCGACTCATTTCAAGACACTCGACTCATTTTCAAGACACCCGACTCACTTTTCCCAAAAACATGGGTGTCTCAGACACTCGCTTCATTTGCTATGAGTGGGTCGGGTGTCTGTGCATTAGGATCATGTGCATAGAATTGAGCGGGTGTCAAAAACGCAAACACCCAAAACGCACAAAGCGATCTGTGCACTCCGGGTGTGTGCTCTTTTCTTGCTGTTCATGAGTGCGACACACACTCGAAATGTATGAGTGTGATTCGGGTGCCGAAAAAAGACACCCTTGACGTTCTGTGCTAGCGACCTTCAAAATTTTTTTCGGCTTCAACAAACATACACAAAAATTGAATAAAATAAGAGAGCTACTTATAATTGGCAAAAATGAATATAGCTTGCACACGTTAAAAAGAAATATATATAATAATAAAGCTACATTCGTGACCTGTAGCTCATATACAATTTTTTATTTGTGAAAATATATTCGAATAAATTAAATATATATAAAATAGATTAAAGTGTTATGCCAGCCGAACGGTATATTCGGCTATATGTATTGAACCTCTTATGAATTAGGTGGCATAAGTTCAAGTTTTTAATGAACTCTTCAGGTCCGTTTCTATATATAATTAAAAAGAAAATCGTGAATGATAGCGAAGAGGAAGAGATCCGGGGCTTTATACCAAGACAGGCTCAAATCGAAGAGAAAGAAACATAATGAACGCGAACGAATTGCAAAACATTATCTTCGGAAAGCTTCGGTGCAATTTTGTTCATATGGAGCGCCTTATTTTCCTTCGGAATGGGAATTGTTCTCGATGAGTTGGTCCTCTCACCGTGCAGGATTAAATCGCGTACTCTAGTTTTAAAGAAATCAGCTTTGCCATTTTGCTGCGGAAATCGCCGCACTCTAACCTAACAGCCCTCTATCAAAAGGAAGCCAATTGCTGTCTCTTTTGAGATTTGGCAGGCGGCTACAAAATTCGAGCCTAAACTACGAAGATAGGCATATCGTCTTACTTCAGAAAGTTCATCCGGTCACAAAGGCTACAATAGTCTTTTACCTCACAAAAATTTTTCAGGTATAGCTGGGATCATGAAGACAAATGTTTTGAGCAGTTGACTTTTGCAGTTCCTCATATTATTTGGAGCACAAATTATCTGGCAACTTATTTTTGTGAGAACTAAACCTATCATATGTTAAATTTATTTATTAATTAAGGATGGCAAATTCGTTGTCTTCCCTAAAACAACGCTGTTTTGCATTACGTTGTTGTGCTCTACGTTGTCTTCCAATGCGATTTGTATTATTTTTAGTACTATAAACTTTATTATTAGTGCTACATAACTATCTGTACATCTTCTTAGTAGTTGTTTTGTGTTTATTGATGAACATATTTGTTGAAGTTGCTTAAGAAACACACAAGATTAATTAAACGTGCACTACTAAATATTAAAAGTAACTTCATTATTCCTCACTAAACGAAAAGGTGAATTGCCGCCAATACAAACTAGAGAAGGAAGGGTTATTTGTTTGTTATTTATAATTGTTGTATAGTTGTATATATTGTTTCTTAATATGAATTGTTAGCTTAACTATATAACTATAGCTTTCAGGTACATTAAATTACTTAATATCTAGTGTGCACTTACCTCTATGGTGCTTCTATTAATTCTACGAACTACAACATTTATCTTCTAACAGTGCATTTTCAAAAAAATTATCCACGCTGACATTAAGCCAGGAAATTTATTGTTAATTGAATCTGGGCATGTCAAAATAGCTGATCTAGGTGTTTGTAACGAATTTTTCGGAGAAGATGCCAATATAAGCAATGAATCGACAAGCGGAACTCCAGCCTTCAGAGCACCCGAAACTCTTATATTGGGACAAGTATAAAATTCTTTAAATAATTTTTAACATTAAAAATTAAACATTTTTTCTTGTTTTTTAGACCAAATTTGAAAAGCTTCGTAACTCAAATGTTGGAAAAGGATGCCATGCACAGGATTACAGTTCCCCAATTAAAGGTATTATATATTTGTAATAAGTAAAATAAATAAAAAACATTCGAATGTATTGGATATAATGAATATTCATTTTTTAGACGAATAAATGGGTTACCTCTGGTTCCCAATATTCTTTGCCGACAGAAGAGGAAAATTGTATGTTGGTACAAGTAGACGATAAAGACATGCGCTCCGTCATACACAGCATTCCAAAATTGGACACACTAATACTAATTAAAACAATGTTGAAAAAACACTCTTTTGGAAACCCTTTTGTAAAGGGATAATATTTTCAGGACCAAACGAATCGCGCCCATAGCGAATATACATATATTACTGATCTGGATCAGTTAAAATGCGAAATTAGAGTCAAATGAATTGTACTGATCTTGGGGTATACCTTCGATTGGTCAAGTGTCCCTTTAATTAGCGGTGTCGCTCGGCCCGAAAAGCCGTTTTTCGAGCGACTCTGCCGTTGTACATCCATTTGTTAAGGGATTTCAGTTCCGGAGCAAGATTTGAAGCAGTCGGCAAAGAAAATGGGCACACTAACCCATTGCACAAGGCTAGGATCAAGTGCAACCCCCAAATGGAAAAATGGTTGGAAAAAACTCCGATATCGGTGTCTTACACAAGTTAACACTACTGAGAAGTAACAGGGAAACGGTAGAAATCTTGGGTGATTCTTAGATTACCCTAGTCTTTCTACATGCCGACTCAGCATACCCGCCTTTGGGGGCCGTGCCTGGGTCCCATTCGTTCCTGGTATGGTGAGTTATGCTCATTTTGCGATCGCTAGCAATTTTCACTGGCATGCGATCGGCCTGCCGACTAAGTTCCCTTTTTCGTACAGCTAAGGTCCTTAGTTCTCTTTTATAATTATTTGAATAAAGAGCACTTAGCTTCATAAACTTTTCTCCGGCTATCGCCGTCATATTATTTGCATTCGCCCATTGAGCTTAAGGCCAGGGGTATAGGAAAGGAGACACCCTTTCGACATAAACTTCATTTTACACATCATCAACCACCCTACTGTTGGCACAACATCAGCGGCCACCTAGGAGCAGCAGCCCGGCAGCTGATTCCCATCTATCTTGACAGTCACTACTACTCAGCAAGCACCGTACCGGTGCCACCTCATCGGCCTGATCTGAAGCAGCTTTTCCACCGAGCAACCGACTATAAGGTAACTGGCGCCTAATGAGCGAAATGAACTAGCGACCCTCAAAATTTTCAAGAAAAACATGTAAGTGGGCAAACATATACAAAAATTGAATACAATAAGAGAGCTACTTATAATTGGCGAAAATGAATATAGCTTGCACACGTTTAAAAAAATATATATATAATAATAAAGCTGCATTCGTGACCTGTAGCTCATATACAATTTTTTATTTGTGAAAATATATTCGAATAAATTAAATATATATAAAATAGATTAAAGTATTATGCCAGCCGAACGGAATATTCGGCTATATGTATTGAACCTCGTATGAATTAGGTGGCATAAGTTCAAGTTTTTAAAGAACTCTTCACTTCCGTATAGAGAAATTAAAAAGAAAGTCGTGAGTGATAGTGAAGAGGAAGAGATCCGGGGCTTTAGACCAAGACAGGCTCAAATCGAAGAGAAAGAAACATAATGAACGCGAACGAATTGCAAAACATTATCCAGGGCGCCTTAGCGCAAAAGGAAGCTAGGCTCAGAGCACAATTTAAAGCTCAAATCAGTTCCGTTAATATGCAGTTACAAAACATGCGCGTATAGAGCCCACAGGTGAAGGCCTACCAATGTGTCTCAGGACAGCCAGGAGCACCCCCATGTGATACCGCTCCACGTAATAAATTCACTACCAGATTTTAATGGCGAGCAAGAAAATCTGCGTGGCAATCTGCCACGGACGCATACGAACTCTTTAAACCTTACTAGGGCAGCTGTGCCCATTAGACCGTTACCATAATCATGAATAAAATTAGGGGCCCAGCGCGAGCGTTGCTGGAATCACACAACACTGTACTTAATTTCGATGCCATTCTGGCAAGATTAGACTGCACCTACGCAGATAAAACTTCGTAGAGGCTGTTGCAACTACAGCTTGAGGCGGTGATCAAAGCCTCATGCAATTCTATGACGAGATTGAGCGTAAGCTAAGTAAGCCAGTATCGAAAGAAGCCAGTTCGCGGCAACATATGCTAGAGCAATGGAAAGAAGACACAGAATTCTGACTTTCGTAAGACTACGTAAGTATCGCTCTCCCGATAAACAAGGAAACGAAAAGAACCCTCATTATTTTAAAAAACCCGGTAAAGAACAACCATTTGACGGGATCATAGACTTCGACTTGCTAACGCAAGTGGGAGCCACCCTCAATAAAAAAAAATCGATAAAAAGGGTCAGATGAGACAGGTGGTAGGAAAAAGCGTTTGGTTTTCTACTTCAGGAAACTGAACGAAAAAACCATTCCTGATACCCCTTGCCAAGTATCGAGCTGGCAAGCCATGGCAAAGCCAAATATTTTACAACTCTAGACTTAAAATCTGCCTATCACAAAATTTTCCTCGCGGAACAAGATCGCGAAAAACCTCATTTTCAATCAACGGAGGCAAGTATGAATTCTGCCGTTTACCTTTTGGATTACAAAATGCTGGTAGCATTTTTCAAAGGGCAATCGATGACGTATTGAGAGAGCAGATAAAGAAATCGTGTTACGTCTATGTTGACGATGTCATAATCTTTTCGGAGAACAAAAAGAGGATGTCAGTCACATTGACTGGGTCCTGAAAAAATTAGGCCAAGTCAATATGACCATCTTGAAAGACAAAACCCATTTTTTTTAAAGAAAGTGTCCAATACCTCGGCTTCGTAGTAAGGCGAAACGGGGCTACAACTGACCCTGAAAAGGTAGCAGCCATTAAGGAATACACAGAGCTGACAAGCTTATTCTCACTAAGATCATTCTTTGGACTGCCAGCTATTATAGTGTGTTTCATAAAAGATTTCACTACAATAGGCAGGCCACTAACCAACCTCCTTAAGGGAGAAAACGGTGCCGTAAGTAAACACATGTCAAGGAAAACAGCGATAAATTTTAAAGATCAGCAGAGAGACGCATTCGATAGACTTCGAAACATTTTGAAAACATTAAGAATATGTCACCCTTAAATACCCAGATTTTAAGAAACCGTACGATCTGACAAGCGATGCGTCAGCTTACGGCACCGTGGCTGTCGCAAGACAAAAAATCCATAATGATGATGTCCAGAACCCTTGAAGACTGCGAGACCCGTTACGCAACTAACGAAAGAGAGTTACTTGCTATAGTCTGGGCTCTAGGAAAATTAAGGCTGTATGATTAATTAATTAAATTAAATTAATCTGTATGGCACTCGTGACATAAGAATCTACACAGACCATAAGCCGCTAACGTTCGGTGTCTCGGACAAGAACCCAAATGACAAATTAAAACGTTGGAAAGCATTTATAGATGACTACGGTGCAAAAGTCATATACACTCCGGGCAAAGAAAATTTTGTCGCCGACGCCCTTTCGCGAAAAAACATCAATGCCCTTCAAATCGAACCCGAATCTGATTGTGCAACAGTTCACAGTGAAGAATCTAGCACTTATACGAGCTGCTCAGGAAAATATCAAAAAAGTCCTTCGCGACTACTATTTTCCAAAAATGTCCGAGAAATAGTGACAAGTTGCAAAATAGGCACTACAAGTGTGTCAGACAAGAACAAGAACTTGGGTTAACTCCAATTCCGTCATATGTCGGCGAAAGGCTGGATATTGACACTTTTTCCACTGGTACAAATCTATTTTAAAGGACAATCGACAAGTTCTCCAAATTTGCGATAGTACAACCAATAGTGTCTAGGGCAATAGTAGACGTGAAATCCCTATCCTCCTTCTAATAAACTTATTCCCAAATAAAAAGACAATATACTGTGATAACGAAGCGTCTTTCAGCTCTGAAACGATTATATCGTTACTCAAAAATCAGTATGGCATAAATGTTGGAAATGCACGCCTCCACAGCACCCTAACAGAAATAACGAGGTGCATCAAAATGGATAAGCAAATTAATGATACAGTGGAGCTAGTTATGCGGGCGAATATAATAAAGCATTACATTCGGTCATTAACCAAAAACCCATTGATGTAATCCACTCTGGCTCCGACAAAATTAAGCAAGTAATAAAAATGAATATTAAAAAAATACAGAAAGATAATCTTGACAGGAGTAACCCATCAAGACAAAAATATAACATTGGAGGTAGGAGAAAGAGTCTACTTAAAGAACAATAAAAGACTAGGCAATAAGCTAACTCCGTTATACACGGAAAACGAGTAGAAGCGGACCTAGGGACAGCGGTACCCTCATTGAGGGTAGTAGATATAACTTGTCATTTTCTTACAGGGTCGCGGGAATCATATTAACAATATAAGCAGTAGTTAACAGACTACACTCACGCCCGGTACATCCCCATAACCGACGGAACTGCATTGGTGTGGGAACATAGGAATTACTTTAGGCATTCGAGCAATTTGAAAGATTTTTCAATTATGATAGACGAAACAGCTAGATTGTCCGCTCTTTTTCCACAATCGCACATGCGAAAATTTTTAGATGTTGATACTGATCATATTAGAAATATCTTATCCGTATTAAAGGTACACCACCGAATTGCTAGAAGCAGACTTTTTAGGCACCTCGTTAAAAGTCGTAGCGGACTCACCTGATGCAGCTGATCTCGATATGTTAAAAATGTCAGAATCCCGGTTAATCGAATCAAACAATAGACAAGTAGTTATTAACACCGAAACGCAAAAGCAGATTAACAAACTAACCGATGCTGTCAACGAAATCATTAAAGCAAAAAAGAATGACCTGGTTGACACCCCACATTTATACGAAGTTCTTTTGGCCAGAAATAGAAAGCTATTTACAGAGGTACAGAATCTGATGCTCACGGTCACACTTGAAAAATCAAATATCATATACCCTGCCATTTTTAACCATGAAGATTTGAAGTCCGTTTTAGTTGATCACCCCACAGAGGTCCCCGTTATCAGCCTAAAAGGGGCATCTAATATTAAAGTCCTTCAGCCCGACAGTATTATTCACATGCTCATTGCATTGTAGCGAGCGAAGTATATAATTTTAATTCTATTTTAATTTCATAAATACATACATTGCATGTACCCATACAAACTAACACATTCCTTCTTAAGTGTCTGGCCAACGAGCCGTCACTCTCAACGATAATGTCTTATGATTTTTCC